ATGGAATGGTTTGGGTTGCAAGGGAGCTTAAAGCTCTCCCAGTTCCAGCCCCCTGCCACAGGCAGAAACACCTTCCAGTAGAGCAGGTTGCTGCAATCACCATCCAACCTGTCCTCAATCATTTCTGTTGGTCAATAATGTCTAATGCAGTAGAGCCTCAAAGCTCAGCATGCATAAATCACTTCCTGAACAGAATAGGAAAGCAAAATGGATGTCGGCAGTGTCCTGGCTGTGTGTTTGCTTTTAGAAAGGTTGCTAATAGCAGATATTAACTTCCTGACGAGGGGTTTAAATTCTGCATAGATGGATAGGAAATTTTTTTCCTAGAAGATACTAGTGTTGGTTGGCTCTTTTCAGAGCCATAAGAAAGGAACTTTTCCCAATAAACCTGTGCCTAAAGGGGTTTCAGGAAACATGGAGAGGGGCTTAGGACAGGTGCCTGTAGGAACAGGCCAAGGGGAATGGCTTTAACCTGTCAGAGGGGAGACTGAGATGAGCTCTTAGGCAGAAGATCTTCCCTGTGAGGGTGCTGAGGCACTGGCACAGGGTGCCCAGAGAAGCTGTGTCTGCCCCATCCCTGGCAGGGTTCAAGGGCAGGTTGGACACAGGGGCTTGGAGCAAGCTGCTCCAGTGGAAGGTGTTGGGGCTGGAGCTGGAGGAGCTTTAAGGTCCCTTTGAACACAAACCAGGCTGGGATTCTATGATCCAGGCCCATGAAATTGTCCTTAATACACAAACATGCCAACACACTGACCCTCCAACTCACTGGCTTTGGCCATGAGCCATCTCTGTCAAGCAAGGCAGCTGTAGAAGTGAACTTTGTTGTTAACAAAGAAGAAAGTTTCTTTCTTGTTATCCCCAGCTAATTAGTCTCTGATGGCTTGTTATAAAGAATGAGCAAGTCACATCCAAGTTTTCTGAGAAGCTTTTGTGGTGATGAGGAAACTTCCTTGGTAAACCCCAGAAGGTCTTGTTAAAGCTGATGACTCCTGGAAGGGCGCTTGGTCCCCAGGGACCACTTCTTGCTTTGGCAAAGTGAGCAGCATCACTTGTGATGGAAACAGCTGTGAGTGCTTGTATTGTGAAAGCCTGGATTTTGGGCCTGCTGGAGGGCTTTCTGTGCCCATGCAAGCTTGGTCCTACTCTCTCTTTAAAGACACTTCCCAGTCTTCATGACATGTGCAGATAATGTGGTTCTTGCTAATGGGGTGCTTTGTCCCTTCCTGCTTTTGACCCCTAATAAAGGGAGCTGGGGAATCTCATTGCATTTCTCTTCACTTTTGGGCCTCCTCAAGGCCACTTCATACATTGAATTTCTTGTGATTAGTTGCCTAGGGATGGATTTATTTATGTCTCTCTTTAGTTCTTTACCTGTTAAAAATGTTCTTAAACTGTTAAACTGAGGCATGTTGAAGTCCACTACCTCCATCCTCCATGTCTGCCTGGCTTTCATAAATGTGATTTTCCTACCATTATGAATTTGGGATTGGAGAATAAGCATGGGTCACCTGACTCAACATCTGAAATTCATTGTCTAGTTATGAGATAGTCAGGTCCCTTCTTGGGTGGTTGGGAATAAAGGATGTTTTATCACATCCTAGGACAGCTGGTGAGAATGCATGTGGTCCAGAGCAGGTCTGAACATCAGAAAGACTTGTATATGCATGTCAGAATAGCTTTCTCTGGATTAAACTAATTCCAGTCAGGATCTGAAGGCCTCCTGGAGGTCAAACTGGATCAGCTGCCCCCCTCAAACCTATTTTCAGTTTGTTTTAATCCAAAAGACAGAACAAGAGGAAACTGCCTCAAGCTGCACCAGGGCAGGTTTAGTTGGAGCTGAGGAACAATTCCTGCCCCAAAGGGTGCTCAGGCATTGGAACAGGCTGCCCAGGGCAGGGCTGCAGTCGTCATCCCTGCAAGTGTTTACACACTGTGTAGATGTGTCCCTCAGTGCCATGTCTTAGTGGTGGCCTTGGCAGGGCTGGGAATGGTTGGACTGGATGAGCTTGAAGGGCTTTTCCAACCTGGTTGATTCAATGAGTCTAAAAGGAGCCCAGTTCATGCAGCCTGACCTCAGCCTGTGATGGGGATGGAAACACAGTGAGGGGAGAGAGGTCTGTGTGTGTCTGTGTGTGTGTTAAAACTTGAACTCTTGAAACTGCTCTTTTTATCTGAACAAATACTAGAGATACAAAAACACACTTTCACTGAGCACAGATGGAGACACAAAACTGTGATTTAATGACTCAGCTTTTAATTATCTAAATTCGAAAAGGTGAAACTACTTCAGATCTCCTAATCCCTCATCCCAACACTCTTAAAAGAGGTATTTCAGTTTTCCTTTCAGTTGGACTAAAACTTCATATAGGGGGAAAACATATAAGATAATTGAAGGACTAAGAAACCACTTTCTTTGCATGTTTGCCTAGAAGTGGTGGGGAAACATCATTTAAGTTGAAGGGAAGGAGACAGATGCAGTGAAATGCCCCAGGTCAGGTTTGGTCTCCCTTATATAGAAATGTGGTGCCATTTGCTCTGTCCTGAAGTGCCCAGGACCTTGGCAAGCACTTGACATGTACATCCTGCAACCTTCAGAAGGGTTGGGTCATTCTGGAGCCTCATCTGAAAGCTCAGAGGGAGACCCAGGGGCATCTCCATGGTGTTAATAGTCAATGTTCAGGCAACTGAACTCTGTCCCAGATGCCTTTATGCTTCCTGACATGGTTCATCCAGTCTGATCCACCTACCCATGCTCATGTGAATGTTTCACTGGGATAATGGTCTAGGACTATGGAATTGTGTCTGTGTGGTGCAGACATCATAGTGAAGAAATAACTGGGACAGCTCAGGAACAGACACACGTTACTTCATGACTTCTGGTTACCCAAAGCAGTGGTAAGTGCTCCATCCCTGGCAGTGTTCAAGGACAGGTTGGACACAGGGGCTTGGAGCAAGCTGCTCTAGCGAAAGGTGACCCTGCCTGTGGCAGGGGGTTGGGACTGGATGATCTGAAGGGACTATATGGTATCTAAAGATGAGAATTGCTAACTAATTGTTAGGTTAACAAGGCTGTCATATGAATATCATCTTTAATGTTCATGTCAATAGAGGCCAGGTTTTGAATCATCTCCACAAAAAACAATATCCTTCTCCAAAACATTTAGGCTGATCTAACAGCACCTGAAGCACAGACCCATGTCCAGCTCTTCCTGCCAAAAAGGTGCTTGCTATTTGAGGTATCAGAACCATTTATGCAGAAGACCCCCATCATGTATTTGACGTGGGAAGTTTGTGTCTACAGCCGGGGTGGCTGCATTTTATAGATCCCTTCTCTGCAAAGATTGAAACAGAATTCATATGATGATGCTCTCAGTAGAAAATGTATTTCCAAAACCTCAAGCCTGTTTCTTGTGTTGCTGGAATTCACCATGCTGCCTCCCCGGCATGTTAAACTGAGGTTTCTCTTGCCAACTCACTGAGCAGTTTCCTCCACACAGGACTATGGCAATCCAGTCCTCTATGAGTGAAGTAGCATCCAGTCTGGGTAAATGTTTGACCATTTCAGTTGTCTCTGCTTTGGAAGCTTTCTTAAACCCAAGAGGAAATAAGGACACCAGAATGGGTAATTCATCAGACAGTGATGAGCCCTACACATGACACTGCTCATTTAGACTCCTGTTTTCACAGAAGCTCAGACCAGATGATCTTTTGAGGCCCAGCCTGGGCTTTCTATGGCTCTATGATTCTATATGTATAGTCTAAGCCAAAATATCCAGCAAAATGGAAGAAAACAAGATATGGTGAAAGTTTTGAAGGAAGTTCTCTGATATCAAAGGTGCCAAGCCCTTTAGCATTTAAGGATACAGATTCTGGCTCCGTCATTGACTGCAGGTCGAAGCCACGTTGCCCCCACACCTATGACAGTTTATGCTTTCATACTGTTGTTTTTCTGAGCACATAAAAATTCTGTTCACCATCCATATACTTTCCCAATATAAGTTAATTCTCACTTACAACAGCTAAAGGAAAGATATTCTCCCCATCAGTGTGTTTTGGCTTTATTGAGACCCAGACAGCTCTCAGTTACCATCAATTCTTTGTTCGTTCATTTATGGAAGCTTCCTACAAACTTAAATCTTATATGAAATAGATATTTTGGTTTTTGTGGTGTGCTTGAGCATGAGCAGGGCATGGACATGGGATATGGGTGCTTATCTCCAAGTGGAATTCCATTTCTCTCACCATTTAGGTAAAAGGTTATGTCAGATGAATGTAAAACACCACTTAAAATGAATGGGAAGAGGTCCTGATGTGCCCAAAATGTCCCTAACACTGGGTGGTCTCAGCACAGTTCATCATCCTCCATTATGAATTATATTGTCTACAATTTTTTCCTTTAAATGAAATCTCCTGTGAAGCTGCAGCCTGGGGAGGGATTCCCTTTAACATTCAAAGGCGCATCTTGAGACCTTGATTCCCACCAGCTTCTTCTCTTTGAAAGGCACAAACAAAAGCAATGAATCTTTTGAAACCTTTTCTGTGACTCTTTTTTCAGCAAGCAAATATAAAAGTACACTTCCTCTTCCCTCCCACCCCAGCAGCTTTAATAAAGAGCTCACAGGTAAGAGGGAGGAATTTGATTGGAGCTGAGGGACAAGGTCAAGAATCTTGCAAGAAGAAGACATCTTTATCAGTGACAAAAGTTACAACTGTATCAAGGTGATTGGTGTTTCCTGTGAGGGAAAGAGGACTGGGATAATTGAGGGTAATTTCTTCCTACAGGCTGTTGACTATGATGACAAATGAAGTATGAGGTTTCTTCTCCTCTTGGTTTCCTTCCAAGGAAGGAAGATGTGATTTGAGGGATCTATATCTCATTTAAAAATGTAATTGAGTTTTGTGCAGGAAGTTTGGAAGAATCTACATCAAATCATTGGGATTATTGGGAAAAATCCCTTTGTTTTAGTGCCCCATAGGCTTTCTGACTTGAGATGAACTGTTCATGTCCTGGATGACAGAAGTCTTCTATGTTGCCAGCGGCTGAAAAACCTCCTCCCGCATTTCACCAGAGACCGCTTCACCTCCCTGTTCCTCAGGCTGTAGATGAAGGGGTTGAGCATGGGGATGAGCACAGCATAGAAGATGGAGGCCACCTTATCCAGACTCGTGTGGCTAGAAGGAGGTTGTAGGTACATGAAGAATCCTGTCCCAAAGTACATGGAAACAGCCATCAAATGGGAGGCACAGGTGTGGAAGGCTCTGGCCCTGCTCTGTGCTGAGCACATCCTCAGCACGGTGCGGATGATAGAGATGTAGGAGAGAAGAATGACCACATTTGCACACACTGCATTGACGGTGATGAAGGCAAAGATGACCATCTCACTGCTGTGCGTGTCGGAGCACACGAGCTTTAGCACAGGGAAAAGCTCACAGAAGAAGTGGTCGATGCGGTTGGGACTGCAGAAGGAACCTCCGAACACACACCATGTGCAGATGATGGCAGTGAGGAAGGCGAATAGGTAGGATGATGCTACCAGCTGCCAGCAGACACGGCTGGAGATGATGGTCACATAAAGCAGGGGCTGGCAGATAGCAAAATGCCGGTCGTAGGCCATCACGGCGAGGAGGTGACACTCAATAGTAGCAAAGAAGGCAAAGGTGAGGAGCTGCATCATGCAGCCGGTAAAAGAAATGGTTTTGTCCTCTGATAACAGGTCTGCCAGCATCCTGGGGCAGATGACTGTGGAACAGCAGATATCAGTGAAAGCAAAATGGGTGAGGAAGAAGTACATGGGGGTGTGGAGGCTGGAAAACACCCGAACCAAGATGATAATGCCAACGTTCCCCAAAATAGTGACAATGTAAATCAATAGAAACAAGACAAAAAGAGGGGTCTGCAGACGTGGGCTGTCTGTAATTCCCAACAGGATGAATTTAGTCTGCGTGTGATTTGCTCCCATGACCAGGTGTTACCTGCTGAGGGAAAAGGAAGAGAAACATCAAACTGATCAAAAATGGAGATTCAGATTTGGACCATGCTAACTCTAATCGGTGACCGTTTAAACTATTACATTTTAGTATATACTACTACATTTTTTCACCCCAATTTTATGTACTTCATGGTTTTAGGTTGAGATATTTCAAAAAGATCAAAGAGCATATTGAAGCAGCAAATACCATTTTTCAGATTTTTATGCTTGGACAATTAAAACTCTGGATTTATTCACAGATATCTGTTCTTTATATTTGGAAAAAATCAGATCTTCAATCACCTTAAGATTAGAGGCAATTTGTGTTAGAAGACACCTCAGAGGAACCTCATAGGAGTAAACGTAAACCTGAAGCAAGGAAAAGTCACATTCCCAGCGAAATCCCAGCTTACACATGAATGACCTCCAGACATTTTTCCCTCGGCTTTTAGTTATCATTCCATTCACCAGATCACATTTATCAGAATATTTGAGATCATTCACAACAGATAACATTCCCATGGATAAATACATAATTTATAAGTTTCTGAGCTCCAGCATGCTGAAACACCCTAAACCCATGGGCATTAAGTTGCTTGCTTTCAAAAGTACTTGATGTTAAAACAGGTTGATTCCAAAGGCTGATTTGTTAGTGATGACATACTGCTGACAATCTGAAATGCTGCATTTCTTTATAACAAAACAAGAATAAATCAGTTCATCTTGCTTTAGCTGCCTATGTAAAAGAAACACAACCTGCATAAGCCATTGCTCCCTCTTCTGATAAAGAAAACACACATTGGTAAGGCTACTTTCTGATATAGCTCCCAAAAAAAGGGATACGAGAACATGCAGAAGCAGTCCCACTGCTTCAGTGTAGGGGAGGCTCTGCTTTGTGCTGGTGTTACCTCCTGTGCCCTCCTTCTGCCACCGAGTGATGGGAGCCAAGGGTTTATCCCCAAAGCAGCAGAGAACATCGACGTGCCAGCATCAGCTCTGTTAAGCACCTGATGTGAAGAGAGGGGAGCTCCTGCCAGACTCCAAGAGCCCAGCTTGTGGTGCTGGGGCTGTAAATACAGTTGCCTGTGCTCTCCTGGGAGGAAGCCTCCAGGGCTGCTCATGATTTACCAGAGGAAAACAAAGAGAAGGAAAAGCAAAGGGTGTGAAATCACCTCTGAAAGGCATTGTGGTGCTTGGGAATCTGAAAGACGTGGTGTGGATGAGCCAAACCTGAGCATAGCTGCAGAGCAGCAGTGATGAGCTGCTCATAGGATGCTTCCTACATACTTGGGGACCATGCAAAAGGCTCTGGTCTGAACTTGCTGACACAATTGTGAAAAACTAGGGACTATGGTATTGTTTATTAAGATTTATGCTAAGCCTGATGTAAAGATTAGACAACAAAAGAAAAGATAACCGTGGTCGCTTGTGCAGATTAAACCAGACACCGCTTGCGCAAGTTTTGAGGAAACATCTGCAAGTTTTGAGGAAATATCTGCAAGATGTTCTAAAAAAAAAACTGGCAGACATATGGGTGGGGGCAACTATTGCTTTGCTTAAGTGCTTTACTTGCATAAGTTGACACCAAAATTATTTACAAACCGAGACGCTTACTAAGGGCTTTTGCAAAACAATTCTAAAAATTATTGCACAGCAAGTTGAAGACCATATATGGAAAAGGATATCTAAAGGTAACCGAGGAGGACTTCAAGCCTTCAGCCTCAAGCAACTGGGGCATGCGCAGAGTACTCCGTTGAAGATACGAATGCGGAACTGGAGGACTGATAAAAAGGGACTGTTAGAACTGTTCAGCACGGCAGTTGTCGGAGCGCAGACTCCCCTGTCGTCCAGCGCTGTCTTTGCTCATATTCTACTTGCTATAATTAATAAAATTCAATTGGATTATGATCCGTTGTGGTCCTAATTTATTACAATTTCTTGGTGCCGTGACTCGGATAAGGAACGGTGGGCTTTGGTCCTCCGGGGAGGCGCCCCGCGACATTTCGCGGCCCCGCGACCAACAGCTCACCCCAACCTTACCGACGAACCTAAATTCTAGAATAATGAGCAAAGGAGAAACCGGTAAAATCCCATAAAATTCTGTGCACAGGAGTCCGGACGAAGACGCAGGACGCGTAAGTATATTGCGAAATTTTTCGTGGGTTTGCCGTTCGGGCGGGATTGGGTTTCCTGGAATATAACAAATGAGAGGTTCGATATACTGAACCAAGCGAGTGTGGACCCTTAAGTACTGCGTTTTCCATCTCCCGCGAGGGACTGGGCCAGGAACAAGGGGAGTGACTGAGTGTGTGTTTGTGGATATTCCAGAAGATGGGGGCGAAGGGCAGCAAGCCTTCGGCTCCCATGGGAAGGGTACCTACTGTACCTAAGAATACCCCTCTGGCATATATCTTAGATAATTGGAGATATTTCCCTGGAACCCAAGGGAAAGATAAGCAGAAGATGATAGAATATTGTACTAAGATATGGGGAGGGAAGAAGATTTTTAAAAATGTCTTTTGGCCAGTCTATGGGTCAGAAGAAGATTGGGTAAGACAGCAATTAAACCTCTGGGTTAATAGTAAAAAAAAACCCTTAACCCGGAGGAGAGTCAATATGCAGAAGTCTGGCTGGAAAAACCAGGAACTAGACTTTATCCATTGAATGAACTGAAAACTAAATTAAAGAAAAAGGAAGGAAGAATTGGATGAAACCCTTCTGACCCCCCCTCCTTATATTCCTCCTCCTGCTCCCACAGCCCCTCCAGAGGCCCCCAGAGCATCCACTCCCCCACCAGAGTCGGAACAAGAGTCTCCCCCTCCTCCTAGACGCGTAACTAGAAGTCAAAAAGGGGCAGCTCAGATGTATCCTCTAAGGGAAATACCCATGGGGGGACCTCAACCTGTGATCGGATATATTTCTGTACCTTTAAATTCGGCTGACCTACGAGATTTTAAAAGAACCGAGATGGGAAACTTAATTGAGGACCCACTCGGAGTGGCAGAAAGATTAGATCAATTTTTGGGACCAAACCTTTATACTTGGGATGAGATGCAATCTATCCTTGGTCAATTATTTACTACTGAGGAAAGAGATATGATCAGACGAGCAGGAATGAGACTGTGGGATGCTCAACATGTCCAGGGACCCCAAGCAGATATTAAATGGCCACTCCAAAGACCTAATTGGGATAATCAAGATCCGGTACACAGAACTCATATGCAGGATCTGAGAACTATAGTAATTCAGGGAATTAGAGAAGCAGTACCCCGTGGCCAGAATATCAATAAAGCATTTAATGAAATGCAAAAGAAAGATGAAAGCCCTACTGAGTGGCTAGAACGATTGAGGAAAGCCCTTCAGCTGTACTCTGGGGTAAATCCAGACGACCCTTTAGGGCAAGCGCTCCTCAAAACTCAGTTTGTGGCAAAATCATGGGAAGATATCAGAAAGAAGATTGAAAAGTTAGAAGACTGGCAGAATAGAGGGCTGGATGAATTACTGAGAGAAGCTCAGAAAGTTTATGTAAGGCGGGAAGAAGAGAGCAGCAAGCGACAAGTAAAAATGATGGTAGCAGTGGTCAGAGAGGATCGCAAAGGGCGAACTGGTGAACACAGATCTGCTGGAACGAAACAAGGGAACGTAGTAGTAGAGAAGGAACAGAGATATTGTTTTTACTGTGGAAAGAAGGGACATATAAAGAAGAATTGCAGACAAAGGATCAGGGATGAGGAAATGTTGAAAACAGAATAGGGGAGTCAGGGGCTCTATATCTTAGGGGACCGGAGTCATCATGAGCCCTTGATAAAATTAAGAATAGGTCCCCATAAACAAGAGTTCACCTTTTTAGTAGACACTGGGGCTGAAAAATCAACTATTAAGCAAATACCTGAGGGATGTAAAGTTTCCCCTGAAAAAGTACAAGTAATTGGGGCAAAAGGAGAACCCTTTAAAGTAAGCAAAATCAAAAATGTAGTATTCGAAACTGAAAATAAATTTGGAATAGGTGAACTCTTGCTCGTCCCTGAAGCAGAATTTAATCTGTTAGGACGAGATTTAATTGTTGAATTGCAATTAGAAATTAAAGTAAAAAATAATGAACTAACAGTGTCTACTTATCCTTTGACCGTGGATGATCAAAAACAAATTAACCCCGATGTCTGGTACTCTCCGGATACAATAAGTAGACTGGAAATCCCACCAATTAAGATCCAGATTTCCGAACCCCACATACCTGTGAGGGTGAAACAATATCCCATCTCCCTAGAAGGACGGAGAGGATTAAAACCAGAAATCGATCGATTGTTGGCAAAAGGAGTCTTAGAGCCTTGTATGTCACCCTTTAATACTCCCATTCTGCCTGTAAAGAAACCAAATGGGAAGTATCGGCTCGTACATGATTTAAGAGAAATAAACAAAAGAACTATTACCCGGTTCCCTGTAGTAGCAAACCCATACACATTGTTAAGTAAACTAGGACCCCATAATTCCTGGTATAGTGTAATTGATTTAAAGGATGCTTTTTGGGCCTGTCCACTGGCAGAGGAATGTCGTGATTATTTTGCTTT